GCCTAATTACCAGGGTGCACCCTTAAGCATGTTAGTGTGAGTACTCGATGCACTTCAATCGTCTGAGTAACACACAGCTGCTATAAGCAATCACGGTCAAAACATGAAAAACGAAGGCATGTCCGACATGTCCTCCAATGCTAGCAATGCCAGCAGTATGGATGACGGTGAAGATGATTTCCCAGTAGCAGCAAAGCACGATTATCGGCGTGGGAAGGGCAAAGCCAGACCTTCATGGCGGAAACATGGGAAGACAGCACCCGAATTTACAGGTGAGCAGTCTGATGGAGATGTCGTTCATTTCTAGAATTTGCCACCTCAATGTTTGAAGCAAATGGTTAGCTTCTGGTGCAGTTAATGGAGGTCATGGGAATATCCCCCCCCAAAAAAAAAAAGAAAAAAAAAATATTAATCAGAAGGCCTACCTGGCACGGAATAGGCCACTGGTGCAATAAACATTGACATTGCAAAGCATTATGGGTTTGGATGACAAGAAGGAGCCCAGCAAACCTGCAAAACGTTAATCTATTTCCGTTTTTGTTTCATACTCCAATTCATGCCATCCTCTTCTGAGAGTGCATGATTGATTTAGGATGAAAATATTCATAAACTTCAAAGTTGGCAGAAGAGGAGAGTTTGGGAAATCCCTTCCAAACACACAAGTTTTTGTCATGGACTATACTTCGACTAAGAATCTGAATATTAATTGCCCCAGGGGTATTGTGTAATCGAAATCATGACTTGTAGCTCATTCATCCCGCGTTGACCAGTCACGTCTAATTTCAGCCTATATGACTGGTGCCCTAGAAATACAATTAAGGGTGATTTCTTCTTCTTACAAACTTTTTAAAAAGTAGTCGTTTTTTGAAAATTGTTTCATATGTAATACCCATCTAATGATCAGCCAGAATAATCCGGGTGATTGTCAAGCAGCAGTAGGTACAACCCTATTGCCATATATGTTCTTAATAGCAACCTCATGAATTTTCCTTGTTTCTCTCACAGGCCACACCGGAGCGACACATTCTGAAGAATGGACTGACTTCACGCCAATGCAGATCTTCCAGTTATTTTTCTCGCAAGTGGTGTGGGAGCTACTGGTCACTGCCAACGTTATGCTGAGTGTAACAGAGAAGTTACCGGACCGGGCCACCCAAGTCATTGGTCTCCAACAACCATTACAGAAATGATGGCCTTTGTAGCACTACTGGTGTGTATGGGTATCAAAAAGCAGCCTAACAACATTCAACTGGGACAACGTATACAGTGCCATCTATCCAACAACCATGTCTCGCAACAGATTTATGGCAATTTTCAAATTCTTCCATCTGACCAACAACAAAGCAGCTCCAAGAATGGACACTTCTTTGTAATTACAGACCCAGCCAAAACCTTGCTCCTGACGAGACCATGATCAAATTCAAGGGAAGACTATCATTCAAACAGTAGATGCCAAGAAAGCTAACCAAATGGGGCATCATATCAAGTGTTTCTCCTTGAATGAATCTGAAACGGGATACACATGCGCCTGGGCAGGGTACACAAGGTCACAAACAGGAACATCAAGTGACGACTCGGAGACGGTGTAGCTGATCATCCCACTGCAGTACCCGGTCGACCTGGTCGAGTTGTTTTGAAACTTGTTGATGGATTTGAAAATCAGGCATCTTTGCTGATAATTGGTACACCAGCCCTGCTCTTGTTCGTAGTTAGGCTTTGGCTTGGTTTTGGCTTTTGTGGAACTGTGCGATACAAGACTCAAGGAATTCCACATTTTGCAAACCCCGAAAGTTTCCTATGGCTAAAGGAGATAAACCCTGCTTTAATTATAATTCAGAACAACTGTGTGTTGTATGGCAAACTATGATAACTGTAGTGTAACTAAGAAGCAGGTTCGGTGTAAAAACTCTCCTACAGGTTATCTTGACATCAGTAAATCAAATACTCGTACTGTCATTGAGTACAACAAGCATATGGGAGGAACTGATCTTGCATCACAACAGTGTGTGTAATATGCACATGCTCACAGATAAGTGAAGTAGTGGAAATGAGTATTTTTTTGCTCTTCTAGACATATGTGTTCTAAATGCAACAATAGTCTTAACACCAATGATAAACTGTCAAATTTTGACTTTTGACTTTATTGGATCCAGGGCCTGCTGTCAATAGAAGAGAGTGGAGTTGCCGGACATGTGCACAAGAGCATCCCTTGTATGTCAGAAGATGTACAACATTATCCGGGCAAAAGTGCTGTTTTATATTCCAGTTAACTAGAAATCCCAACCCCCCCATTTCATGTTGTGGTAGAAACGAGCCAGTAAGGTGCAGATGATTATTGACAAGTTTGGTTTGAAGAATGTACCAATTTTTGTTGATTTTTTTAATTCCAATCGACTAGAAATCCCAATTCTACCCCCCTTTCAGTGTTGTGGTAGAAACGAGCCAGCATAGTGCGCAGTTTCTCCCAACAATGCCGGGGGGTTGGCATTCTGTCCAGTGATGGTAATTTTGGCTGTTGTTTTCAACGTAGCCCTCTTATATCATTTTGGAGTTGAACACTTTCTTTCAGGCCAGTGCTAACTAATAAGAATATTCGTTTCATGAAATTCAGTTTTGAAAATATTAAAGGCAGACTAAGTGATTAGGTTTGTCTCTACAACTTTGTTGTAACTGCTCCACTATGTCAACGTTGGTTTATTACTCACTGCATAGTGAAGTCAGGTTATGCCCTTACAATCTGAATGTAGAGGGCAGTATGCAAGCGTGCTCCATATCAGGTTGTGGTATTGCACTGATAGTTTATGTCTTTGTGCGTTGGTATTCAAGGGGGGTAGTTCAGAGAGGGGCTGGCGCTGAAAGAGCTAAATGAGAATAGCCAGCTGGCCGGGCTGGACTCCCCCCCCTCAAAAAAAATACGGGCATTGTCCCTCGCGTCAGCCAATTTGCTTTGCCAAAGTTTCCACGGGCATCTATCTTTGAATACAAAATGAGCCAACTAAAGCTTCATTTCGAACTTAAACTCAAGAATTCCCCGTTTTAATATATCCAGTATGACGGTATACGTCTTTTAAACGTGTTTTACTTGTATTCATCCGCCGATCACTACCGGTGCGTAAACACGGCCGAAAATATCCGATCATCAACGATAGGATGTGAATGTTAACGACAAGTATATTGGATGCTTTCAAAAATTGAGGAATTCCTCCTTTTTTGACATTGGATGGATACCGGACCATGAATCGAGAGGGAGTACTCGGATTCATCGGGTGGGGAGGAGACTAATATCGACTTGCGCTGAAATAGAGCCCCATCCAAACTACTTGGCTGCAGCTTAAAATTGCGCTCAGTGGGAACTGGCTGCGTCCACAACCATAGATTCTTTCGCACTTTCAGGCTGCAGCCTAGTCTTGGTTAAATTTCACGACGTTAGTGCTTGATAGCGGACACCGTGCATAGTGCGCCCCCAACGACTCATAATTAGACTGTGCGCCAGCTCGCACTAACGTCTTGGGAATCTTGCAGCAGCGTTTTAACTTGTTCTTTATTTTTCCCTCGGCTTTCCAAAGAAACCAATCAGCACTCGCTGAATTGTATGCATACTAAATTTCGATGAACTCAATAACACACCATGGTAAGGTCACATGCATCATGGCTGTCTGCAGTCCCGTCAACACAGACACGACAACACAGACGTATACGCAGATCGCACGGAGTAGAACGGGGGATACTCAGACTAGGTTAGGCCTAGGTTATGACAGAGGATGCTGTTCTTGATGACCATAATCATGTACTGTCAGTATGCCCTCCCCAGGTAACTAAAGCGTCCTTAGAGACCATGTAGACCTTAACCTTCGAGGATGGAGTCCCCAGACTGCAAGTTGGTTGTCGTTTTTGTTGCACGTGTAGGTTTATTTGCCCTTGTGTGAGTAGTTTGGCACCAGGCAACATGCTCATTGTGAGTTGCCAAAAAACGCCAACGATTTTGTTTTCCCAATTTTTCTGCCGCAGATATCGCAAACATGATGCGATGCAGCACGACTGTAGACCCCAACGATATCTTTTAGAAGAGTGGCAATTTCATGTCTAGTATGGAGTGAAACATATGTCTTACATGTCACTAATCCCTTCCCACAAACCAGACACTATCGATAGGGTAGGCCTACTTACTCATTTGCATACAACTGCCGCACCCCCATTCCTGCAAGATTCCCAAGACGTTAGTGAGAGTAAGTAAAAACTAGTTGTGCGAGGGCGATCTTCAACAGAAATAAAACAACTATCGATCACTGACGTTTTGGGCCAAGACTAGCTGCAGCCAAGCAAATGATCGATTCTCAATACGTTGCGCTCCCCAGTGCTTATTCCTCATGAGATCCATTTCTGGCTTTTAATCGACATACGTGACCTCAGTTTAGCGCAAGGAAGAAAACCAATGATGGCCGCATCCGAATACTGGCAGGACGGGGGAGTAGCAAGATTTCAATAATAGAGTGTGAGCTTCCGTTGATTTGAGCCTTCTTACGACTTTGCCTTTGAGAAAGATTTTGCTATAGGATCGAAACGTCAGGCCCTCCTTCTTTTGTGATTTCGTGTTCTGATTTATGTTCTAATGATTTAGAGGCATTATGAATCATGGGTGCTTAATTGTTCGATACTGTCTTGCAAGGGCGTTGCAAGATGAGCTGGTTATAAACAGCTCTGGCCTGAACGCGCTTATCGCGCCCTCAAGAACTTTAGGTCGTCGTCCCTCCGTGGAGCGCAAGAGTAAATCTTTGCACTTTCAACGCCGGCAAACTTATGCACAAATAACCAAAACTGCCTTCTGTTAGGGCACACCGTACACAAGAGATCTTTTGGCAGTGTGATTATCATGAGGTTGGTCTTGACCACTGATCACCATGGGTTTCACGCTAGCCTTGGGTCTTTTTTGGGGGGTGGCAACTTAGGCAAACTTAGAAACTAATTTAATAACCATACTGCCTAATCTATAGATTACTAATCAAGCGCGCGTTGATGATGGCTGCATATGTTTAATCAACCGTTCTGCTGCCGGTTATCGATGGCGCCTGCGAATCAAAACTTCAGCTATAAAGATCCCGGCACTCATCTAGACCCAGATGCAATTAAGGTAGCGCCAAAGTTACACATCCAGCAGAACAGTCGTAGATTCATTCATTGTCCTTGCCTCTACAACTTGCAGAAATTAAGCAGAGGAGGTCGAGATGTTCGGGCCACCTCACAGGTACTTGGGATTTCATAAAAATTTTTACAGCGTTGAATCATTTTGCTGTACATTCATTGATTTCCTAAATTACCCTTACAATGACTGTATTGCATACTGATTATTTGAATTATTCCAATAACATAACATAGTACTGTTAAAGACGTCTGGAGACTATGTACGGGACGGGAACCAGTCTAAGTCTCCATATCCAAAGCATATATAAGCACAGATAACATCACAGAAGATCCCTACTTGAGTCAAGTCTAGGGGTGACAGGCTGCCCCGCTGGTGACATTTACCATATTTCTGTATCTTTGTAAGATATACAAGCGCCATACATCACAAGCTGAATTAGTGCTCTGTTTTTCCCATCCCTTACTTTTAAAAATGAAAGCTACCGTACCCGTCGCTATGACCATTAGATTGCTCTGCTATCCGAAGTTGCATAGCTGAAAGCTTATCTCTGCACACACAAACAACCGAGATAAATACTGCCCTCTACCCACGATGGAGAGTGAAATCTCAACAGTGTCTTTTCATCGGTTTTACTGCATGTATTGTTGAGTTTTGGTGCAGTTTAAGACATCCTCCGAAGGTAGGGACCGGTAGCGGGTAATAAATCCGGCAGAATAGAGCCTGAAAGTAAAAGGTCACGCAGCCAGCTTCCGGAACCTTCGCGCGGCCCGCCTATGGGGGCTTTACATTGGGCCGTCCTGTCACGTTCGATAATTTTTGGAAGAATAATTCCTAACTGAAATCACCCCATGAAATGTCGGAGTTTTACCTTTGTCTTCCTCAACTAATACCTAGGAAAAGTCACCTGAAAAATGAATAAAAAACGAATTTCATTAACGACCTTTCACTCCCGGTGGTATCGTACCAAGGTCTCTTTGTTCATGCACGTTTGTTTTCACTCCCCGTGCGAACGTGAAAGCGAGATTGTTCAACCTTGCAAAGATTTACCTACTTGCAGTCGATGGGTTCCATGTTCCGTTGATTTGACATAGCGCAGTTGTTGTCAGCAAAGGTTAAATTAAAAATTAGAATCTTTCGTAAAAGTAGTTTATTCCTTTCAGTTTATTACCTCATAAATCAAAACAGTTTACGAAATATTTTGATCTGTTTTTATTTCGGCTTTTACCTACAGAGTACCATAAAATTTCAAACCATAAATGTTCATCCGCGTACGAGACCGCTGCATTGGACTGTTCTTCATGTATTTCAGATTTTTTTGGAAGTGATTGCTCGGTTTTTGGCAGGATATTTCTCTTTAAGGTCAGGTAATTTTTCAGTTTCTATAAATTGATTTACCAGCATATTTCCAAAGTCCTTTTTTCCGAGTTGCATTTTTTAAGAAGTATCTGAACGAAAAAAATATTACAAATTCTAAAATCTTTGCACGTTATTTTTCGTATCCAAGTGTTCGAGAAGCACGCCATCAGGGGTCAAGTTTCAGGTTCTATACTGCAGAGTGTATGTATCCTAAAGGAGGAAACGATGCCCGCTCAGTGCACAAAACAAGCAGGAGCTGATAACATATTTTGGTTTTTCTTCTTCCTTACCAAAAACAACTTCACCATAAATTTCTCTCTTATCTACAATTTAACACAATAACCACTGATTTGTAATAAATTGCTGTAAAACGAGTCTACAAGGCTGACTACTCTGATTGGTGAAAATTCCAAGTCTGACTACTTAAATTGGTGGAAATTCCGTATACATTTAGCAAAATCATGTCGTCTGTATGCAATTATAAATAACTACATATATCACTGACGAGGGGTCTGATCCGTCAAGTCGTACTTACTGACTGGTGACACAAGTTGTACAATCTTTTGACGTGGATATTGCGGAAAAGGTATCAAATGAGGACGCTTTGTAAGAAGTTATGTGAGTGGCCGAGCGCGACGACCGTGTACTGTGCATTTAACGGGATGGCTGACTGGAGAAGAGCAACTAAGTCCGACTTGATTCAAGTCTATGTCACCCCTGACACTGGCAAGGTAATACACTGATGGTGACTGATTGTTATACTTGTGGCTAGACAGCACCTGTACGCAAAGATCCCCTTTTTTACAATTACTGCATTAAGTAAATAAAAATACCAAACCCTTTGCATTGGTCTATGGTTTGTTGAAGGCATTCCTTACACATATGTGCTTGTCAAAATGAGCATCTCTAAATATTTTTTTGAATGAACAAATAAATGTTTCGAAAATGTAAATAAATCGTGAAATAAATCAAGGAAATAAAGATCAATATGTTCAGATATAAACAGATAACACTGTCATGTAAACCTAAATTGGCACTTTTAGATCACTTATGAACAGCGGAAAAGCATTTGGAAAATAAACAAGACGAAATCAGCACTATCATCTCGGCAAAATGTACTTTTCAAAGCCATAACACCATAACTTCTGCCATTTTTCTCGAGGTGAAGCGGGTTAGTCTTTCTCTTCAGCTGTCGAGCAGCCCTGAACCATAGTAATACCACACCAACCGTGGAACCA